GCTCGTTCTTCCTCTGCCTTCTTCTCGTTCTTCCTCTGCTCTTCTCGTTCTCCTCTGCCTCTTCTCGTTCTTCCTCTGGCCTCTTCTCGGTTCCTTCCTCTGCTCGTTCCTCGTTCTTCCTCTGCCCCGTTCTTCTCGTTTCGTTCTCTCTGCCTTTCTTCCTCGTTCTTCTCGTCTGCCCTCTTCTCCGTTCTTCCTCTGCTCTTCTCGTTTCTTCCTCTGCCTCTTCTCGTACTCCTCTGCCTCTGTCCTCGATCTTCCTCTGCCTCTTCTCGTACGTTCCCTCATGCCTCTTCTCGTTTCTTCTCTGCCTCTTCTCGTTCTCTCCTCTGCCTCTTCTCGTTCCTTCATCTGCCTCTTCTCGTCCTTCATCGGCCTCTTCTCGTCCTTCCATCTGCCTCTTCTCGTCCTTCATCTGCCTCTTCTTCGTCCTTCATCTGCCTCTTCTCGTCTTCATCTGCCTCTTCTCGTCCTCATCTGCTCTTCTCGTCTTCATCTGCCTCTTCTCGTTCTTCATTCTGCCTCTTCTCGTTCTTCATCTGCCTCTTCTCGTTCTTCATCTGCTCTTCTCGTTCTTCATCTGGCCTCTTCTCGTTCTTCATCTGCCTCTTCTCGTTCTTCATCTTGCCTCTCTTTCTCGTTCTTCACTTCTCGCCTCTTCTCGTTCTTCATCTGCCTCTTCTCGTTTCTCATTCTGCCTCTTCTCGTCCTTCCTCTGCCTCTTTCTCGTCCCTTCCTCTGCCTCTTCTCGTCCTTCCTCTGCCTCTTCTCGTCCTTCCTCTGCCTCTTCTCGTCCTCTCTGCCTCTTCTCGTCCTTCCTCTGCCTCTTCTCGTCCTTCCTCGCCTCTTCTCGTCCTTCATCTGCCTCTTCTCGTTCTTTCATCTGCCTCGTCTCGTTCTTTCATCTGCCTCTTCTCGTTCTTCATCTGCCTCTTCTCGTTCTTCATCTGCCTCTTCTCGTTTCTTCATCTGCCTCTTCTCGTTCTTTCATCTGCCTCTTCTCGTTCTTCATCGCCCTTCTCGTTCTTTATCTGCCTCTTCTCGTTCTTCATCTGCCTCTTCTCGTTCTTTCATCTGCCTACTTCTCGTCCTTCCTCTGCCTCTTCTCGTACTTCCTCTGCCTCTTCTCGTCTTCCTCTGCCTCTTCTCGTCCTTCCTCTGCTCTTCTCGTTCCTTCCTCTGCTCTTCTCGTCCTTCCTCTGCTCTCTCGTCCCTTCCTCTCCTCTTCTCGTTCTCGATCTGCCTCTTCTCGTTCTTCATCTGGTCTCTCGTTCTTCTTGCCGTTCTTCATCTGCCTCTTTCTCGTTCTTCATGCTTTCTCGATCTCTGCCTTCTCGGTTCTTCATCTTGGCCTTTCTCGTCCTTCCTCTGCCTCTTCTCGTTCTTCATTCTGCTCTCTCGTTCTGTCATCTGCCTCTTCTCGTTCTTCATCTGCCTCTTCTCGTTCTCATGCTGCCTCTTATCGTTCTCCTCTGGCCTCTTCTCGTTCTTCATCTTGCCTCTTATCGGTCTTCCTCTGCTCTCTTTGCGTTTCTTCCTTGCCTCTGCCTCTTCTTGTTCTTCCTCTGCCCCTGCTTTTCTCGTTCTTGCCTCTGCCTCTGCCTCTTCGCGTTCTTCACTGAAGAGGCAGACATGATTTCACTGTTAAAGAGCTAAAGGCCCGATCGGAAATCGAGCATGGATCTCTCGTTATATGTCCAGTTGCTCTACCGGGAGATCAGTTTGATTTTCGATACGAACAGTAAAGTATTCAAGCAGTCAAAACATATATAACCACGTCATGCTATGAAGCTATGGGGTCGCACCCGTTCAGAAACGTGAAACGTATTCTGAAGCAATTGTTGAACTCACAACTATAATACTGTGATGAAACACGGGCAATAATAATAATGATAATAATAATTTCATTAATAATAATTATTATAATTTCAATAATAATAATAATAATAATTATTATTATTATTATTATTATTATTTCAATAAAAATACAATCATCCTGCCCAAAAAACTTTTGATCCGAACGGTACACAATTTGCTCTTACAACTATTGTATATTATCGTAAATTATATGAACAAACAATAATCAGTGTATTTGTAACAAATTCGGTCAGAAATACAGCAATTTCGCGATTTAGCCCGTTCATTCGCACAATAGCTACACGTTTCGGATAAAGCATAATGAATGTCGAGACACTGTTCACTTCGAACATCATCAGCTAATTCGCGAAGAGTCATCTAGCGCTGGCTGACATTAGATGATCGAGTTTGAGACATCTCATGTTAGAGAGAAGAATTTTGGTGTGAGAGAAGAATACGGTTGAAGCACAGACTCAACGCCAGAATTCGGCGATGCGCATCGCAGTGTCAACTGAGGTATATTGTGAGGCAAACGTTAAGTGGTATCATGTAAATATAAATTCACGAGTGGAAAAGTGGCACTCCAAACCACACACCTTACTTCGCACTAGCCTTGGAAACTTCCTCCATTCCAGTTCATCACGTAATATCTTTTTCCTACGTACGTACATCAACCTGTCCTATCCACCTCATGTTGGATAATATGTAATTAAGTCTGAAGTATAGCCTCCGAAGCAAAAAATACAAATTGTAATGTAATTGTAAGACGGAAAATGTGTGCGAAGATGAACACCAACTCGTGTTCCAGCACAGTTTTTCAACGCAATGTGGGGAATTGTTATAGGTATGTGTGTACCACTTCACTAATTTGAACTGTTCACAATGAGAAAGTTAGCATTTGTAGCAGCACAAAAGACTTACCCTCCAACATAATCGGTGGGGACCAGATACGGGTTCAAAAACGACAGTTCATCTGCAAGCGGCCATTTTCGACACTTGGACGATTCCTTCTTCCGGCAGGCCATTAGTTTGCAGTGGCGTAGATACGAGGTTCGCAGTGACTTCCATCGTGTTTTACTAACTTCCACTGAAAGAAAAAAAAGGGCATTATTACTAAATTATTTTAAAATACAGAAACTAAAAATAAAACATCTTAATTGCACTTCTATAATTTTGTTCACGTCACATATTTCTCGAATTCACAGCCCCGCACTTAATTAGCAATATAAAATTCTAGAAAGCGTCCTAAACTTATAAACTAGGGATACAAGGAAAATTGAAAGACTGGTTACATGGGAGTTTTTGAAGGTGCATCTAAGCGAGGCCGTGTCGGTATCATTTATCGGAGAGAACAATAATAGCTATTAGGTCTTTGAAAAGAGATGTCAAACTCTGTAAATCTTCATACATACGATTTCAATGAGAGGGAGTGTGATGTCGTATTGTGACTCACACAAAGTCAGCAATATGATGGTACTTGTTGTGAGTCGTTGCCAAACTAAATCACTGAAAAATAGTTTATGCTCTGGGCGAGACAACTGATACTAGAGATACTCTTTGCGAATAAACTTAATTTCAATCTTGTTATGCCAGAAAAATATAAGCCGTCATTCTCTTTACTGCAACGAGACAAGGCCAAACTAAGGTAAATTCGGAGCTTGACACGAACTTCACAAAACTTTCAAATGACATTGTAAAGTAGCAAATATCAATAAATAATAAAGTTAAATGTTTAACTGGAATTAACTTCAACACTGTGGCAGTGGCAATAATAATAATAATAATAATAATAATAATAATATATTAATAATAATAGTTTAATAATAAACAACTTAATATTATAGTGAACAGTACATCACACGGCAATTACAACATTCCGATGTACTTTACTACATTGTGCGTATTATATTTTAATACGAACCTACTAACAGGTAATCATAAGGTAATGAGATTTTTGCAAGTTTAAGCTACTTCTCTTAATTTAAAATTATAAGTAATACGACTCAGTGGGGACTATTATTACTATTATTGTATATTATTACTATTAATATTAGTATTAATATTATTAATACTATTATTATAATATTATTAATACTAGTAGTCCTCAATTGTCTGGGTTCCCATTAAGCAAACAAACTGTTCTGGCCAAATTGAGATGCCGATGTTACCTCTCTAATAGCTCTCAAACTACCTTATGAGCCGTTCTCAAAGAATTTATGCAAAATAGAAAATTGTCAGTCTAAAAAAAAACAAAAAAACAATGCGCCCAGGGACTTATTTAATATTTGATTTTCTTTCGTAAGTGTGTGCCTTCAAGTGTCTATTACAAGTATTCTCATTTTAATAAAATGTATCCTCCACTCCTCCACTAGTATACCTTTTATGTGTCTAAACTAACTCTGTGATCAATTTTATCAATGTACCATCTCCAGTTTCATTTCCAATCAGTTATATTAAAAAAAATAATTCTCATTTCTTTTATTATAGATTGTCAACGGGCGCTGAAAAAAAAGAAGAAAAAGAAGAAGAAAAAAGAAAAGAAAAAGAAAATAACTAATATCAGTTTCTTCCAAGATTAATTTTCTCTCCGCGGCCTAAACTGCCCATGAAGAAAGAACGCGTTGGAAACCACTTTCGATAGTCCCTGAAGCGCCCCTCTCACCCTACTATTAAACATTAAGCAGCGGAGAGTTAATCGAAGGGCGGGTGAAACGTAGACCCTCCACGCCCTTCCCCCGGCTGAGCAAGTCGCGCAGGCACCGACTCGCGATGAGTGGACCCTTCAATACACTCAAATCTTCATTTTAAAAGTTTTTTAATAAAAAAAGATTTTTAACTTTACAGAAAATTATCTATTTAAATGATTTAATTAGTTCATTCGGTGTTTCATACGCTCCCAATATTTCAGTTTTTAGAGAATTTACTCTATCATAGATACATTATTAATCCATCTTACAAGTAATAAACAAAATCAAGATGTACGTAGATACAAAAAATACAACTATCGCCGTAGTCACAAAATTCGGAATTAATTTACACAGTAAAAAAGTTTATTTTCATTAAAATAACGAAAATCTAGTCAAAGAAATTAGAAAACTTACTAGTACGAGAAAGTCTGTGCACCACTTGTTAAATCTTGCAAACCACAAATTCGGATTTTTTAAAACAGAAATTCTTTCGTATTCAGCGCTTTCTACCACGAGACACATTTAGTACATTCTATTATCAGCTTCTCCTCTTTGGAGGGTCTCTCGTGTCCGGGGATTTTCTGAATCAATGGAGGGCTCATTAAACAAGAAGGATCGCGCGTTGCCGTGGCCCGTACTGTAGGGTGCTGCTAGAACATTCGCCTGTATGTGATCGGCAAATACACGGAAATTAATGATCAGATTCATTGGCCTAAGAATTCATTTCCAGCAGGCATCACAAACTCACAGATTTTAAACAAATTATGTAAATATCTGACACTTCGCTACAATCGAAGCAGAGGTCTCCCGAACACTGGTACGCTCGAGCCCTAAACGTAAACACTGAAAAATAATACCGTAGAACGGCATCTGAAAAACAATATTATAGGAAAAAAACCCTCAATTAACCTCAAATAGTTTGCAGTCCAACAGATCTTGGGGCATGGCCCTCTAAAAACTTAAAAGCAAGAACAACCAGCCAAATCGTCAATGCCGTGCGATGCAAAAATCGTTCATTTTTTAAATTTGAAATGCACTTATTTCATTTATCGTAATTAAAAGTTCCCCTTAAGTTGTAAGCAAATCGCAAATACTTCTTTAATATCACAAAAATATATTGTTTTCTCCCAGGACTCTTATCCCCCATTTCTAGTGCAATTCGTAAAGTGGAAAATAAAATTAAAAAAAAATGTCATTCATAACAAAAGAATCATACTACTAAAACTTCACAAAATTATTAATGAAACTGAATTTAATCAAAATTAATATTATCATTAATAAATTTAGTAATTAATTAATTACTAAAAAGCATGCCTAGATTTTCGGGCGGATCTCAAAAACTTTCTCGCGGAGCATCAGCTAGCGACGGTTTCATTACAATAGAAGTACACGAGTAGGGGGCTGAGGTAGAGGCAAGGATAAATACAAAGAGGTCAAGCGTAGCGGCATCGTAAGGGACGGGAGTTAACCTCAATTCCGATCGAAGTGTGAAGCATAAATACGGAAGTCTCGATTATAGCGCAGGGCTCCACGTTCAGCGTCGCCACGTGTCCTGTATGACGCCGCGCCCAGCCGCGCCACCCCGTTGCGCCACCCGTTGCCCCCGCATCCCGCCAAGAGACGCCCGCCACGCCACGCCACGCCACGCCGCGACAAGCCGCGACACGCCAGGCCGCGCTGCGCCACGCGCGTTTCCGTACCACGCCAAGCCACGACACGCGCCTTTCCGTATCACGCCATGCCACGCCCGCGTTTCCGTGCCGTGCCGTGCCGTGCCACGCAAGGACGCCCGCCGTGCCGCGCCACGCCGCGCCGCGCCACGCCACGCCACGTGCCTTCCGTACCAGCTATGCCAGCACGCGCCTTCCGTACCACGCTACGCATGCCACGCCTAGGCCGCGACCCCCCCGAGAGCGCGGGCGCCAGGTGCAGGGCGGGCGCCGTGCCGCAAGACCTCACGCTGCACCTGCAGTGCGCTTGTGGGCGCGGCGGACGTGATGCCGGGCAGACGCCGCTGCGGCGGCGGCGGCGGCGGCGGGGGCGGGGGCGGCGGTGGCGGGCGGTGGCGGCGCGGGGGCGGTGACGGCGGCGGGCGGCGGCGGCGGCGGGGCGGGGGCGGCGGCGGCGGGCGGTGGCGACGGCGGCGGCGGCTCGCCAGGCGATGTGGGGTGCGGCTGCCTGCCGCGGAGGAGACGAGAGAGGGGGCGTGGTTCGGGCTGGGTGCAGACGTTGCGCCTGTGCCCGCCTGTTCGGGGGAGACAAGATGGAAAGAGGGGTAGCCGAGATGGGGCGCGGGAGGAGCGAGGCAAGCCAAGCGGCCTAGGAAGCGGAAGGCGTGTGGGGGAGCTGAACATGTGCTCAGGAGGCGGAGGCTACCTAAGAGAGAAGGCATGCGACCTAAAAGGAAACGGAATGGCTATCGGGGGAAGGGCGGCGAGCGAGCGAGCGAGAGGAAGAAAGAGCGAGGGACACAAAAGAGAGGGAGAGAAAGAGCGAGTGCGCGAGGAGGGAGTGGGGGAGTGAGCGAGGAGGGAGTGAGTGAGCGAGAGCACACAGAGAGAGGAGAGGAAGAGAGCGAGGGGCACAATAGAGGGAGAGGAGAGAGCGAGGGGCACAATAGAGGGAGGAAGAGAGCGAGGGGTACAAAGAGAGGGAGGGGCACAGGACAGAGAGAGAGAGAGAGAGAGAGGGAGGGGGTTGAGAGTGAGGGGCACACGACAGAGAGGAGGAGAGAGGGAGGGGTTGAGAGGGAGGGGCACAAGAGAGGGAGGGGGAGAGAAAGTGAGGGGCGCACTCGGAGGTAGAGATACATATTACGGAGGAATAAAGAGGACCACCAGACGGGGGTAAAGGAGCATAGAGATGGAGGGAGGGAGAATGAGCGAAGTGCATCAGGAGGCGAGCGGAGGCACGCGTGCGCGCTCGGCCGGCGCCGGGAGGGAGGATGTGCGTGAGCCGAGTTGGAAGCAGCGCCGCCGGGTGGAAGGAATAAGCGAGGTCGGGAGGCGGAGTTCGGGCCGTTGGTGTCCCAGGCAGCGAGTTTGCTCGGGAGCCCGATGCATGGGAAGGAGATGGGGCCGGACGCCAGTGACGGGCAACTCTGCAGGCTCGTGTTAACGCACGGGCTATGGCCCAAGGGCTCCCAATGTTCTAGGGCCCATAAAAATTCTTTAAAAAGTTATTTACTTCTAAATTTGTCAAAAAATTTAAAAAAAACACATAAAAAGTTATATATGATTAACGATACGCAAAAAATTGGCATTACGGAGTGATGTACCGCACATCATTGATAGCATTTATAATACGGAATGTTGCGGGTTGAAGCGAGATTATCACTCGGTGATAAGGGTATTTTTTTAAATAAAACTCTTTCAAGGCATCGTTTAAAGTAAGAATTGGG